TACCTACTCAAGGTGCCTATGACTCAAGTATAGGTGATCAGGATCAAATCGGATCTCAAAGCATGTTTTGGCCAGGCTTTGGCTGACAATTGAGAAGTAGGGGTGAGCCCTAGTGTGGAGATTGGGAGACTTCACCCATGATCAGGAGACCTTCAGTCACAAGATCTGCCCTGAGGTAAGATGGACAAGTACAGTTTCTCAGCCACAGTCTATTGCTTCCTTTTGTTTCCTCTGGCATGTATATGTAGGCACCAGTCTGAGGGCACAGAAGCCTCAGATTTGGTCTCTCAGGAATCCCACTGTCTAGTACAACCTGAAACACCGATCTCCCTTGAAGGAAGTGAACTGTCCATGATCATGTTGATTGACCTCAGGTAGTCAGACTAAGGTACTCGATAACCTGGTGACACACCCCAATTCTTCATTGTACCCTCCAAAGGCTGGTGCTCCAGCCAAGACTGTCAACTTCTGGATGACTGGTGCCAATGTATCCAAAGTCTCTGCTGATAGGCCACCCTCCTAGAGACTAGAGGTCTGACCTGTGCTTGATCTCTACAAAAACTCATGAGATGAGCCCAACACCCCTTCTTTTGGCAAGGTTCTCGTCTACAAGTAACCAAACCCCTGACTACACCCCCAATGGCTCACTGTGATTGCCCAATGTCCATACCAATTCTGCTGGCATTGCACTATGCTGCCCCAGTCTAGGTGACAGGCAACTCTGGACTCCTCCCCATCTAACATCCCCTTAATCCTGCCTGATCAACAAAGGGTTACCATCAAGATCCCATCCCCTCCCACCAATACCCATGCAATACCTCCACTGACTCCTGAAGGCATGGCTTTGTCCTGCCTGAGTTTGATGTTGACACAATCAGTCATCCATGATTCCCAATACCTTGTGGTTTGACCTCAATACTGGTTGACTACACCACTTCCAATTCTCTGATACCAACTTGTGCAACATACTGAGCATGGTTGACTGTCAAGGTTCTTGGGACTATTGACCCCCCTTCCCATATCACTCTCACTACTCCATGTGGCTAACATAACCAATACCATGAGAGATCCCAAAGCAGACATGCAAGGACCACTGAGAGGTCTGATGTCAGGCTTTTGGATGATTAGTGCTTGTTTGGCAGTCAGGTCACCCCGATAGGTTGAAGCTTTGCCCAAGACCTTTGTGTTTGGCCTCTGCTCAATGGTGTGCCCTGACAATGATGAGATGACTTAGAAACTGCTTGTAGACTAAGGAGTTTCCTCAGAGATCAAATCTGAGGGATACAGCATCACTGTACTACTGTTTATATACCTTGTAGTTGTTCACCAGAAGCCCAGGAGTCCAGGTAAATTCTGGGGACTTCTACAAGTGTCATCTTGCATCCCACTGGAGGGGCCTTTAGCACTGCTATGTCTCACCCCAAGTGTCTGAACACAGCAGTCTTGTGGTGTCCTCTGCACAATGTCTTGTGTGGCCACTGCCATCATCCTAAGGCAGTTACCAGCACAGGAAGTTCCAGGGGCTTGTTGTTTCATTGCTCCTAGGGCAAAATGGGTGGCCAGGGGTGGTAACAGGCAGTGCCCTATACTGGCATGAAGAACACCTGACTGAAAAACTGCTTTGAGACCAACTTCTGACTTTCACATACCAATTTCTGACTGCAAATCACTCGGTTAATACTGACTGACTGACTACCTGACTACCTGACTGACTGACTGAATGACCAAACATGCATATGTGCTCTTCCCGAATTACCACCCCTTCAGCAACAAGAGCTGACACACCTCCCATCAGACCAACATATTCAGACCATGGATATTCAGACACCTCTTGGGTTGGATCAGCATCCATCCCCGGTATTGGGTGATCTGCGAGGCAATTCACATCTCTTTGTGTGCTAAGAATTGCACATTCCCTAACAATACTGTACCTGCATGAACATATACTTTTGTAACTTGTAACAGCCCAGTGTTTTCAAAGTAAAAGTGGAGATTGTAACAGGTAACAGACTGGTGCAAGTAAATTGGCATGAATTGGCCTGCTGTTAGGGCAACACAGGCTGACTAAGTCTGCTCACCTAAGAGTGCCAAGAGTCTAAGCAGGCAACAAGGAAATGAGTAGACCTGATGACTA